AGATAAAGTTGTTCAGAATCATATTCAAGATTTATTATTTGTAATAGTTTTCATATCAAAAATATCGCAATTAGACATAGAATAATTTTGTGGGAGAGCCATGCTTCGGCACGAATGGGCCGGCTCGACCGGGGTGATACCACGGACTCACAGAAAACTGACGTGAAGCAACGCTTACGTTGTGTTTTGTCGTACGAGTGAGGTTACCGGTGGCCAATTACCCTCCCCTTCCCCAATCTCCCCAATCCCTGAATCCCCAACGATCCTCAATCTCCTAATCCCCAAAAAGCCGGTAACGCACTTTTAACGCCTCTATGGTGGACCACGCCGATTGCTTACCATCAGGTGATCCGTCTGCGCGTTTACCGGCTTATGCCATAAAAAAATACAAATGACGTCACTACACCCCTATTCCCTTTCTTTTTCCTTTACATTCGTGAATTCCTTTTACATCGGATCATCTTCCCAGACGCAAGTAATTAGGGTCGTCACGCAAAGAAACAGGGTCACGTTTAAAAAAGTAAATATTTTAAAATCCACATAGAGTTGGTTACGAAAGAGGTCGGTAGCACCACAGGGACAGGATGCAACACTATGGTCTTGCAAAGGCGAGTGTACTTAGTGATAATATCAAAATGAGGTTAGCGTTGGAATGAGGATAAGTAAAGGAATTTATGATCTGATAGCGTCTGCCAGTTGTTCTCCGAAAGGATTGTCGTGTGGTCAGTCATAACTTTGGTTAAGCAGGAAATTCTTAACTTACAATTATTATTAACATCAACAACGTAAAATAGACTACTGCTGGATTCTGAGTCAAAGTCAAAGTCAAAATCATTTATTTCAATTAGACCAGGAAGGCACTTTTGAACGTCAGCAGCAGCAGCAGCTGAGTCTTTTATACTTACGACTTACGAGGATTTGCCACAATCCCAACTTCTATGCTTGACGTGTGGCTTATGAATTTGTCCACATATGTAACATAATTATGAATAAACATAATATATTTTTATTTTATTTTTATTTTATTTATTTATGATTTACCAACATTTGTTTACACCAATACAATTGTCGAGATACAAATGTGAGTTCTTAACAGTAAGTGTAACAAACACTTATAGGTAAATACAGCATTTAAAAAAAACTTAAATTAGACTAAAACTTATAACACAAATTAAATCTGTATATATAAAAATGAATCCCATTTTCTTTTGGTCACGGCATCACGCGTGAATGGCTGGTCCGATTTCACTAATTCTATTTTTATTGTTGTATTTGTTATTATTAGGAGAAGGTTCTTATGACAGAAAAAATCCTGAAAATCTAACGGGAACGGGAAAAAACGGGGTTATACGAAGTTGCGAGCAAAAGCTAGTAATTAAAATTAAAAGAAAAGGAAAGAAATAAAAAAAAGAATATCTAAGTCAAAGTCTAAAAATTATCGTAATCTCAGTCGTGAGGGAGGGTGCTCAAAGACTGGCAGCATTGCCACGTTGAACCTTTGGCCAAGGCACATTTGTCTCTACAAGAAATAGTTGTATTATATTTTCCAAGGGAACCCTAAAGATTAAAACTTTGTTAGGGTCGCATGACTACATCGATACAAGTATATACAGGTAGGTATGAATCATTGAATTACCGGAATGATATTCTATAAATAGGGTGAATTGTTTGATCGAAAATCGGAGGCAATGTCATGCGTAACCAAGTAGATAGCTGTCAGTTAAGTAATGTACAAGATATAAGGGTTGTTTACGAAGATAATGGGTGTCATAAATAACTGTCAAACTTATCTCCTTACCTCGTAGATAAAGCAAGGTAGGAGTAGTTACTTTCGTGAAATAGATACAGCCTTATCAACTCTCTAAGGCTCATTAGTTAATTGGGACTGCAACGTAGAAGCTTGGGTCCAATTTTCAAAATGGGTCTTTGGGTGTGTTCTTACTCCTTAATGAAGTTAAGTTTGTGGATAGGTAACTACTAATCTAATCGGCTACAGAAAACCCATTGTCAGACTGCGCCAGATAATTCATTAACAAGGAGAGGTGGCGGGAGATCGTGAGGAAAGCAGTATCAGCATCCAACACAAATACGGTCGCCTCAATGTGACCACGACCGCTCTGCCAAGAGCGAAATGACAGAGAAGAGAGATCTATTATACCCGTTTACTTTTAATTTCGAGTTAAATTTTAAGACCGTACATAACGAAGAATCACGATTAAGCCCAACCGATATAACCTGACTAGTTAAGCGAAGGATACACTAGGGGACAAAAATGTCCTGCGACACTTGTCGCCAGCAACGTTGGGTGAAGTAGTGCGACGTTGCTGGACTTTGGTCGACTTGCCTCGCGATATCAACGTCGCAGTGGACATAAGTCGTGCGTAGTCGCCATACATGGAATTCAGTCGGCATCGTTTGACATGTCACCGATATATGTCGTACGATATTTGTCCCGTAGTGTATCCTTGCCTTTAATTTGAATGTTGATAAATTCGATACCTTTTTACTAACAAAAGTTGTGTTTTATTATGAAATCTTTTACGGAAACAATCAGCACGTATAGTGACGATAAATAAGATAATAAACATGCCCGTCATTGTCCAAAATAGTACCTAGTCAAGAGATGTCGCAAGGCAACAAATGGGCAAGACACAGAATACTACGGAGCCACGGAGAACCTAACGGGTTAACGGGGCTCCGGCTCGAAGTGCAGGAGTAGGAACGAGGTGGTTTTTAGTCAGTAAGAGTCTGACACTCCCTCCCGCCTCGTCCAGGCGGGAGAAGTCATTCGATGATTTTCTCCCGTTAAAAAAAAGACAGATTAGTACCCGAGGGCAGGATTTGGAACGGCGTGTTTTTTGACTTAGTAAGGGCTCTTTCAATTTAGAGATTTCGTGTCGTACGACTGCAACACGTTTACCATGCTTTTATTACGTAGACGCTAAGCAAAGGGTCTGCCAAGGTGTCGTGATTATTACTATTTTTTGACAGTTTTAAGGCTTAACCCGTCGTGTGTCTAAAAGTGGATCCACGCGAGACACAATGTATTTTCTATGTGTCTCATATACGGGCATTCAAGCGGTTAATTGGGTAGTTTCCAGGGTATCAAAATTAAAAATCGAATTAGTCCGTCAGTTAGGTAATGAAAAAATATTAGACACGTATTTTTTTTTAATTTCTCGTATTAAGTTGCAATAATTAGATAAAATGGCGCTAAGTTTAGGAGTGGGAGGTCGTTACGTCATAACGTGCTACAAAATGTGGCACGTTGTGATGTCACACGATATTTCAAATTAATATATCGTCCATAGTATTTAATTTTCTGAGAAAAGATAAAATACGTGTCTAAAATTTTAAATTAGTGTACCAGACGGTCATTAAAATTAAATTTAGGAAACTACCCTATTAGGGCAGTAGCTGCTGCCTGGCGTATCTTGAGTTCTGTTCCATACGGAACTATTTATTTGATCTACAAATTGATACCTAATATTAATTACCCATAACATATAGTGTATTAGCTTTCATAGTCAAAAGACACTGCAATATTGCGAAGCAATTAAATCAAGTCAGTCATATGTCATAATAGTCCAACGCACTATGTAAATCATTTGACTAGGTCTGTAGGCCATAGCCATAATAGTAAATAGAGGTAGGCAGAGACACCGGATTAGGTGTCGTCGACAAAAAATAACTGTCATGGCTGTCATTGATAAAAACAGTAAAGATCTTTGTTTGGAACCAGATTAATTAATTGGATGATCTTATGTTTGCTTAAACGGGATCTGGTTATTTCTGTTTAAGAGTGAACATTGTGAGATAATATAATTTTTACACAGGGTGAAAACGAAACGCACCCGAAAACGCAACAAAAAAAAAAAATATTTAAACCGTTTTTGTTTTTGTGTTATTGATGCAACAGGTTATAAATAGACATGTATGAATAATGAGTGCAATATGAATACACAAAAGAAATATTTAATTCCTTATTATAACTGTTGTTGTGTGTATGTTTTCGGCTTACTCACGTAATTATTTGACGAGGGACTCGACTAGTTTTAATTTAAGCCAGGCTAGAGGCTCATATTCATGAGCAGCATTTCGCGACCAGCGACGCCTACTGGACTGTACATACACAGTAACATAATAATTTATTTAATTACTTGCTATAATAAAAATTAAACTTGTTTTTGACCATCAACTGTCGGCGTATTTCGGGAGCGTTTTGTTTACATCCTGTATTTTACTGATTAAAAAAAGAAGAAGTTCATCCATATCTACCTAATTGTTTTTTTTTTATTTGTTTGGTACCTGTTTCAAACTTAAGCTTCAAGCACTTTTATACCTTTAGCCAAACGCCACTTTAGCGCTTGTCTACCGAGAGAGTAGAAAACTAAATATGGGAATGACACTTGTTATAGTACATGACTACTCACAACTCGTCAAGTGCTATGTGTGCATCGGCCTTAATGCTGATTCTTAGTACCAGTGTTATAGTGCATTACGACACGTAAAGTGCAAAGTGTGCATCGGCCTCAATGCCAATGCTTAGTAAGACCCTTACATGTGAATATGTATTGCGACACCTCGCGGTATTGTTCGATATCTGACTCGGTTACTTACCGGAAAGTGATTTCGTCATTCTAATTATAACTTAGGATTAATCATTAGCATTATAATATGATCATTCTGATTCTTGCATCGAACAGGATCAATTGTATTAGCAGATAGGAATTAATTTGTAACCTTTTAATATTAATTAAAGTTTGTCTAAGAAGTTCTTGGTTTTCTTTGGAGCCTCCGGCAGCGATCTACATAATTGGCGCAGTCGGTAGGATACTCGAGGCGTCTCGAGGTAGTATATTAGCTAGGCTATCCTCATATAGAAGAGCCGTACTGTTAATATCGCTAACACCGTCGCGAGCGATTCGGGCACCCGAGTATTCTGAAAGAACCTGTGATCCTGATCGGAGGGGAAATCAAGACATCGATTCCAGAGAAACCAGAATGCTGTTTATGTAAGTACACTAGAATTGTTTCTGTGTGTTGCTATCAATTTCCTTTTAGTTATTTTTAGTTGCAACCATTTTCCATCCCAGGAAAGACACCCCTAGTGGGCCTTCGCGCGCTAGGGAGGCACGTAGGTTAGACGTAGATAATACTAGATATATTAGTGTAGATTCAAGTGCCACATTCGAAGGTTATTTTAGTTCGGTAGACACTGCAGTTTCAACAATGGCTGAGGCAGATAGTATCTATAAATCATTACGCCTATTACCGGATTTTGATGGTAACGCGAACGTATTAACGCGATTTATTCACCTTTGCGACAGATTAGTGGCAGAGTATATAGACGCAAATCCAGGAAACTCGCTAGTTAAACTCTGTTTGATAAATGGCATCTTGAATAAAATTAAGGGACCGGCCGCACTGATTATTAATTCAAACGGTATATCTGAAAACTGGAGTGATATCAAAGCTACCTTAATAAATAACTTCGCGGACCAGAGAGATGAAACCACTCTTTATAATGATCTAATGTTAGCAACGCAGAATAATGATACCCCACAGGAATTCTACGATCGGTGTGTCAATTTATTCAGTACTATCATGACGTATGTTACATTACACGAAACGATAGAAACTACAGTTCAAGCTAAAAGGGCACTTTATAAAAAATTGACTATGCAGGCATTCGTTCGAGGATTAAAAGAACCCCTAGGTTCTCGCATTCGATGCATGCGTCCTGACAGTGTTGAGAAAGCGTTGGAATTTGTGCAGGAAGAACTGAATGTTATGTACCTCCAAAACCGCAATGATCCAATTAGCGAAAAGAAAACCAATCAAGCTCAGTTATCCAAACCTTTGCCCACGATTCCAGTAGCTAGTTCTATGTTAAAGCCACACAATCTCCCCGCTCGACCTGCACTTGCGAATAATTTTCAGATCCCCCAACCTGCATGGAAACCTAATTTCCAACCTAACGTCAATCAAGGGGTACAATTTAGACCAACAGCCGCAATGCTGCCGTCGCGCACGCAGCAAATGTTTCGTGCGCCGCCGCCAAACTATAATAATTCTTTTAATAACTTTCAGATACCCCAAAGAAATTTTAATATGCCTCAAAGAAATTTTAACAATAATTTGGGCCCTAAGCCTATGAGTGGAGTCAGCCACTACGTTACTAGAGAGAGACCGCAACAAACTCAACTAGCTGGTCACGATTGGCGTAAGCAGGGTAATCCACCGGTTTCAAATTATTTTAAGACCAAAGATGTTAACGTGAATGATTGCGCAAACTATGAAGAATATTATTACTATCCAGATTATAACTGCAACGAATCAGATGCTTACTACTACGCTAGTAATGTTGAATATTATAATATCGAACCTTATCAACCGTTTTACGGAACTTATAATGAGCCCTATAATTATCCCGAAATAGATTACCAGTCAACTCTTCCCCAAGAACCTCAACCGTCTACCAGCGTTTCTGAAGACCAGGATTTTCAGAAAAGCTCGAAGTCAAAAAGATCAAAATAGAACTAAATCTACAAAGTCAACGTCAGCTTCCGTACTTACAAATCTCAAATCCGCCCCTAAAATTTTTGATTGATACAGGAGCCAATCAATCGTTCATAAGTCCCGATGCTGTGAGCAAATTTTTCAGTAACTTACCCCTAAATTACACTCCTTTCGACCAACGTTCATGCCACCTCTCGTAATGATTATTCAGTAACCATCCCTTGTTTTGCAGAATTCCAAGAACCGAGTGATATTCAATTATACATTTACAGATTTCATGATTATTTTGATGGACTTATAGGACTCGACCTTTTAGAGAAGTGGGAAGCAAAAATTGATCTAAAAGACAAGATATTAAAAACTCGTTATTCAGTTAACCCTATTAACATGTACAATTCACGGAATTTAAATTTATACGAAGATGTTATACCTGCCAATTCATCAAAAATAGTTAAGGTACCTATTCATTTACACGACGGAGAAGCTTTTATCGATGAACAAATAATTTCGAATTGCATAATTAAAGAATGTCTTACGACTGTTAAAAATAATCGTGGATTTTTAGAAATCAGTAATCCTACTTCTCATGACCTAGTATTTTCAATGGACCGCGCTATACAGGCCGAAGTTTATAATATTCAATGTGCACGTACAATACAATCCAACGACCGTGCTAAAGAGGTCTTATCCCGGTTGCGGACGGACCACCTAAATGAAGAAGAACGAATTAATTTAGAGAAATTATGCTCAAAATATGCGGATGTATTTTACATAGACGGTGAGACTTTAACCTTTAATAATAAAATTAAACATCGCATCCGTACTACCGATGAATTACCAGTATACACCAAAAGTTACCGTTATCCATATATTCATAGAGAAGAGGTTAAAGATCAGATAACTAAAATGCTAAGTCAAGGCATTATCAGACCATCCGAGTCCGCTTGGAGCTCACCCATATGGGTCGTTCCCAAGAAATCCGATGCTTCTGGTAAAACAAAGTGGCGATTGGTAGTCGACTTTCGCAAACTAAATGAAAAAACGCACGACGATAAATACCCTATTCCTAATATAAACGACGTATTGGATAAATTAGGCAACTGCCAATATTTTTCTACATTGGATCTGGCTAGTGGTTTTTATCAGGTCGAAATGGACCCTGACGACATCCCGAAAACTGCATTTAATGTGGAAAATGGGCATTATGAGTTTTTGCGCATGCCTATGGGTTTGAAGAATGCCCCGTCAACTTTTCAGAGGGTAATGGACAATGTCCTCAAAGATCTTCAGAACGTTGTCTGTTTAGTCTATTTGGATGATATCGTGGTATTTAGTACTTCACTACAGGAACATATAATTAACTTAGAAAAGGTTTTCCAAAAATTACGGGAGTCTAATTTCAAAATCCAAATGGATAAATCCGAATTTCTCAAATTAGAAACAGCGTACTTAGGGCACATTATTACTAAAAATGGAATTAAACCTAACCCAGACAAAATTGTAGCGATACAGAACTATCCAATACCAACCACCCCAAAAGAAATTAAACAGTTTCTTGGCCTTATTGGATATTACAGAAAATTCATTCCTGATTTTGCGAAAATCACAAAACCGCTCACGCAATGCCTGAAAAAAGGTAGAAAAATTATAATCAACTCTGAGTATCAAAATTGCTTTGAATATTGTAAAAAACTGCTGGTCAATGATCCAGTACTACAGTATCCGGATTTCACGAAAGAATTTATTTTAACTACCGATGCCTCAAACGTAGCATTAGGCGCGGTACTATCCCAGGGCACGATAGGGTCGGATAAACCGGTTTGCTATGCATCTAGAACTCTAAACGAAAGTGAAATAAATTACAGTACCATCGAAAAGGAGCTTCTGGCTATTGTCTGGGCGACCAAATATTTCAGGCCGTATCTATTTGGTAGAAAATTTAAAATAGTAACAGATCATAAACCACTTCAGTGGGTTATGAATCTGAAAGAACCCAATTCACGGTTAACCAGGTGGAAATTAAAATTATCTGAATACGATTTTACTGTAATTTATAAAAAGGGTTTATCTAATACTAATGCAGATGCTTTGTCTCGTATAACAATTAATAACGAAGAGACAATTTCCATGGTAGCTAATGTTTCGGAGCGCCCACCATCAGTAGGGAATTCATCCACAGTATCCGCTCACACTAGTAATGAAAACCCCATTCTCGAGGTACCAATAGTCGATGATCCGTTAAATAAATTCCACAGACAAATATGCATATCTGTAGTAGGTGATATAAAAAAACGCCCCTCAGTGTCCAAACCTTTCGACACTCACACTAGAACAGCTGTACAGGTTTCTAGGTCAAATTTAGAGAATGATATAGTAAATATAATTAAAGAATATGTAAATCCTAAGATCAAGACGGCACTGCTTATAAATCCTCCTTTAGCTATGTATGACATAATCCCTATTATACAAGAGAAATTCAAGAGCTCAGCCATGAACTTGGTTTTAGCTAAGAGTGAAGTCGTAAACGTCAGTGAATATCTGAGACAACAAGAGATAATTAATCACTACCACGGAGGAAAGACCAACCATCGTGGTATAAATGAGTGTTATTTATCCTTATCGCGACAGTACTACTGGCCTAAGATGAAAGATCACATAACGAAATTTGTTAATGATTGTATCATCTGTGGTCAAGGGAAATACGATCGCAACCCAATTAAACAGCAATTCCATATTGTTCCCCCTGCTACAAAGCCGTTTGAAATTGTACATATAGATTTATTATCAATTCAAAATGAAAAATATTTTACAATAGTAGATGTTTTTTCTAAGTATGCTCAAGCATACTACATCCCAGATGGCACAGCAATTAGCATACTACAAGCATTATTAAAATTCTGTACACATCACGGTTTACCCTTAACTATAGTTTCAGATAATGGTACAGAATTTACTAATCAACTGTTTAATGAATTTATTAACACGCATAAAATTAACCACCACAGAATTTTGCCTCATACACCAAACGAAAACGGTATCGTAGAAAGATTTCATTCTACCTTATTAGAGCACTTGCGTTTACTCAAACTAACTTATAAAGAGTCCAGTGTCAGAAACCTTATACCATATGCACTCTTAGCATACAATAACTCCGTTCACAGTTTTACAAAATGCAGACCCTATGACATTATTACAGGACACTTTGATCCTCGTGATCCATTCGACATAGATTTGACTAAGCACTTGATGCAACAATATACGCAGACTCATAGGGACCAGATGAAGATGGTGTATGAATTAATTAACGATACTGCTCTTGCAACACGTACTAACATAATAGAGAACAGGAACAAAAATCGCGAACCGGAAGTCGAATATCAACCACAGCAACGTATATTTGTAAAGAATCCATTAGCCGACCGTCAAAAACTAGCTCCGAGATATAGTCACGATACTGTTTTATCGGATTTACCAATACATATTTATACGTCTAAAAAACGTGGCCCTGTCGCTAAAAGCCATCTTAAGAGAGTGCCTAAAAGTGCCCAATTGTTGCAGGGTGCTACTGGTCCTGATTGCTCCTTCGATAACAGCTCGCGGGATAAATCAGGAGATAACACTTGAGAGCCTTGAAGATGGCCCAGGATTATTACCCTTCCGACTGGGAGCCACAAAACTCGTAACACATTACCATTCATTCCTACAATACATAGAACTTAAAGATATTGACGATAAGATTAATTTGTTACTCGATCAATTGTCTCACTATAAGTATAGTTTAAGTAATGATACTTACATGTTATATGAGCTACAGATAGATTATCTCTCTAATAAACTGCTTAGAATCGCGGATCACTTAGAAACTCTAAAACCGGGTCGCGTAAAGAGAGGTCTCATTGATGGTTTAGGATCGATTATTAAAAGTGTAACCGGTAACTTAGATCAATCAGATGCCATTCGATATGACAGTGCTATTAAAACTCTACAAAATAATAGTAATGAATTAGCTGAAGAGTTTAACAATCATATTAGCCTCAGTAAGGAGTGGATGGCTCAGCATTCTAACATAGTTTCAAAATTAGTAGAGAATCAAATTAAGATAAATGAAACCTTAAGATTAATCTTAGACAATGATGCTTATAGAGATAATTATCTTATAAAATATGCTAAGTTTGCTCAATATCTAACCATTTTAACCGAGAACATTGATGAAGTCTTAGGGGAATTAGTTAGAATAGAAAACATCCTAGCCTTCATACACGCATCTAGCACACATCATTCCATGTTAAGTACAGAAGTATTAGGACATATGATTCAAAAGTTAGTTAAGATTTATAGTAGAGATCAAATAGTAGATTTAGATATTAGGGAATATTATGACCTAATAAAACCTGGATATTACTACTCAGGTAGCCAGATAGTTATAGTCTTTAAGTTGCCTATATTTGCGACGGATAGTTTCGATCTTTACAAGTTGTCAATAGCTCCTAATAAATTCAAACAGGCCCTCATCCCTCCTTTTCCATTGATAGCAACCAACAGGAAAGGTTTTGTGTACATAGAGGCAGAATGCCCGAAGTACGATAACTGGTATCTCTGTGCCGACAAGATGGACCACCAGCTTCGGCAACAACCTGATTGTATACAGCATCTCATCTTGGACCAAACTATAGATGAGAAATGTGACGTCATGGAACTAACCCTAGCAAAGGCTTCAATGGAAGAACTGGACGAAAGACACTACGTCATATCTTTCCCGAATTCAACAAGGATTCACACTGTATGTGGAAAGGAAGACTATATAACAGTAGATGGAAGCTACTTAGCCACAGTTCCCGAAAATTGCTTCCTATATACCTCAGAATTTGCTATCACCAATGTCAACGATCACGTGGAGGGACGCCCCCTGAAGATTATGAATATATCCTACAACATGGACATAAAACCTGAAAAGATGACGCAACTGAAACTGAAATCGATAGATCTTTCAAGAGTACATGATGTCCAGTATCAACTAATGGCGCAACCTGCAATAAGACTCAACCAAATCCCAGATGACGCACTGTACCACACAACGATCCCTTTTTACACCTTGCTGCTGTTAAGTGCATTTGCACTCATTATACTACTTATTATACGGTGCAATAAGACATTTCAAGGCAGAAAACTCCAAACAAAATCTCTTCAGGAGGAGACAGTATATGCAAAGCCTGGAGAATCAGAGACAAGACAACCAAATCCAGCAACTCTTTCTCAATTCATGTCTCGAAAATAGTTGCTGATCTGCGGGTGGAGGTGTTATAGTACATGACTACTCACAACTCGTCAAGTGCTATGTGTGCATCGGCCTTAATGCTGATTCTTAGTACCAGTGTTATAGTGCATTACGACACGTAAAGTGCAAAGTGTGCATCGGCCTCAATGCCAATGCTTAGTAAGACCCTTACATGTGAATATGTATTGCGACACCTCGCGGTATTGTTCGATATCTGACTCGGTTACTTACCGGAAAGTGATTTCGTCATTCTAATTATAACTTAGGATTAATCATTAGCATTATAATATGATCATTCTGATTCTTGCATCGAACAGGATCAATTGTATTAGCAGATAGGAATTAATTTGTAACCTTTTAATATTAATTAAAGTTTGTCTAAGAAGTTCTTGGTTTTCTTTGGAGCCTCCGGCAGCGATCTACATAATTCACTGATAAGTGTCAAAATTTACATCAATTCCATATAATTTGGTTTTCTATTCTACAAATAGACAAGCGCTAAATGGCATTTGGCTACAGCTGCTGTATCCTGCAAGTCCTGCCCCACTTATTCAGAAGTTGATCTATTTTGTTACTGTTAATTCGAAACTTTCGAAGGCAGCTCGATGGCATTCTCGTCCGTCATTGGTCAAGACTATTCTTACAACCAATGACATTCTCGAATTGAAAGTTATATAATTACATTAGCCTAGCATTGAATTGAAGTTTCATAGGTTTAAAATAAATTACATTAATGTATTTCAACTTTTCAATGCAATAAATAATTAAAATATACCTAATCATACTCTCATCCATTGATTTGAAAATTAAAATAATTTTGGATTTTTTTCTCGCTAATTTTAAGGAAATAAATATGCTATTTGAAGCAGAAATATGATGACGTCATAAGTTGCGATCCAATACAAAATTCATAGAAAAGTATCGTTTTTGACATTTCAATAAAAATATTGAATTTGACTACCTGTCAACTACAGTAATCAATAAATCGAAGTTCATGAAAATATGTCCAGTCGTTCTTGATATATAAATACTACACGACTTCAAGCAGGTTTACCCTACATATATGTCGTAAGTTCCCTAGAGTACCTACTATCATAACTCATAACCATAAACTATAGCAAACATTTTTTACGAGTTTCATAATAAAACTTTTTTGTAAATACAACTCCTTTCTAGTCGACCTTTTTAAGTTATTTTTAACCACATTTGCGCAAGCGCCGGACGCATTAGGTAAATTAAACAAACTCGACAGGGAATCGCGGTAAAACTAGGTAAGGTAAATATTATCGTATTATATCATATTTTACCTACATATAAAATCGTAATGTCTGTTTATATGTATGTTTGGTTTAATGTTTATAGAGTTATTCAATGTTGAGCAATTTTTAATTCGTAAATATTTGTATTTAAAAGAGCATTTGGGTCATCGTAACGTGAAAACCTACGCTTTAAAGCCCGCAGAACCAATTTTAGTCATAGAATAAGAGGCCTTAGTACGAGTTGAGTACGAGTACGTGTTCGGCGCTCTGATTGGTTGCTTCATTGGCGCCGGCCAATTAGAGTGCCGCACGCGTACTCGTTTCGAATACTTTAAACGTAAAACAAACTCGTACTAAGGCTTAAGAAAGAGAATTTTTATTTCGATAGACACCGTACAACCAACCGTAATGAAAGATATTCGCAACCTATTGTTACCTAGCAAAAGAGGTACCTACCCAAAGAAAGAAAACAAGACTGTGTTTTTATAATAACTATCGTGAGACATACTAAATTCGCGTGAGTAACACGCGACTTTTCGCTAAAACAACATAACATAACATCACGCCTTTTATCCCCGAAGGGGTAGGCAGAGGTGCACATTATGCCCCTGTACCTACAATGTAACACCCACTTTTCACTTTACATGTTATGAGTCCCATGTAATAGGGGGTGAGCCTATTGCCATATACCGGGCACAATTCCAGTGCTATTACTGAGATTTTTTTTAAAACCCAGTAATACTTTGCCCGACCCGGGAATCGAACCAGAGACCCCTTGCCCGGCAATCGCACTTGCGACCACTCGGCCAACGAGGCAGTCATAGCTAAAACAAATTTAAACTTAACAGATAAAAAAAAAATTAAACTTGGTAAGAGAAAATGCACCTATACGGAAACAAGTGTTACCCAACTACAACAAAAATATACACAAGATAAAAACAAACCAATTCACCCTTATGCATTTCACCTCATTCTCCCCTTTTAAACGTATCGACAAAACTGCTGTTACGATGCAACGTTAACCATACCATCAAACGTTCACTACATATTCAACCCTTACAACTAAAAAATAAAGTAGAAAATCTTATAAAGAGTATAGTAGGTATACCTTTGTGTGCTGTTATGTACCTATGTCTCCCGGCAACGTAAGGTTTCCGTGTCACCCTTGCCTTGAAACCAGTGAAGCGTAGAACACCGTTGTAGGTAAAAACCGTTGAAACTGCCATCTGTCATTGGTAAACCGTTTTTTTAAAACTAAGTCATGTAATTAGGTAGGTATCTACTTTTTTAAACAATAACACATTATTTCGGCTGTTCAATACAATAAAATATTTAATAATCTCATTTTCTGTTTTTTTTTATTTAATATAATCCTTTGTTAATTACAAGTAAAATATTAACACCATAAAAAATTAAATAAAAATGTTATCATAAGGCATCAAAGAAAAAATTTTCCTCATCTTTCATTAAATGATTTTATGACCAACTTAATTTTATAATTTTTCCATCAAATATTCAAGAAAATGAGACCACGTTCGGCGTTCTGATTGGCCGGCTCTAATGAACCAACCATTTCGAATACTTTTTTAAACGTAACACAAAGTCGTACTAAGGCCTCAGAGCACTTAACGCGGTCTCGTTTCGAACACTTTAAACACAAAAAAGCTCATACTAAGGCCTTATAACTCATGCCTGATAAAATGTCTAAACAAAAAATATAGTTCTTAACAACAACTAAATTAATTAAACATAGCAAAACGGGGTTCAGTTAATGTACTCGACCTTTCACATTATTTAACTTCTACTCCGTATTTCGAAATAAGCTGATATTAAGCAAATATTCTCCGTTCCCTAAAGAGTTAGCAGTTAGCCTATATAGTAAAAAGTTGAAGACTAATTGAACACAGGCGTAAGGTTGCAAGCCTTTCGGTTTCTTACCAGATGCATTTCAATCAGTGTGCGGGAATTGTACAACATGATTCCCCCTAGTCCTTTCCATCATTGTACCCCAAGACAATCGGTCAAACGTCACCGATTCATGGTAGATGTTCCACCAACATACACGAAGCGCTTCGCATCAAGCTTCCTTGTCCGCACTGCTAAGGACTGGAATTCTCCTGAACCTGGGTGACTTTGAGGTCTGAGTGAATTGGTTGCTTATGGATCAACGTGCTACATCGTAGACCGCATCATCGCTTAGGTACCACCAGGCGAGATAGGTAGTGGTCAAACGTCGACCCATCAAACATAAAAAAGGAATCAATAGTTATTATAGTCGTTTAATTACGTATTGAATATTTTGTGCGATGCAGGAATTAGATAAAAATTTAACTTTCCCTACGAACGAGTCACAGTTCCTCTGTCTATTGCCGTCAAAGAAGAAAATTCGTTGTGTTGGTTCTGTATTAGGTGTTCGGGATCCTATAGCGAAACAGATGAAAGTACGTACTACTTAGGTACATAATAATAATTATGTCTTTCTATTCTAACTATGACAGACGTTTTATCTATTTAACAGAATTTACTCTCCAAAAGCTTTAGTCATTTCAGACTAGAACTAGACTAGATAGACTTCAATGGACAAATATCTACAAACACCCGTAACATTGAACTGCATAGCAATCAAATATTTCTATCATGACAACCAGTTCTAACTTGTTTAAGTATGTGCCTAATAACCAGTCAACTTGAAATACTTAGCTTGAACTAAGACGCAAGTTCAACAAGACAGTCTATGATTCAAACAAGTTTATAATGTCTCGATAACACCAATGTTGTAATCAATGGTCATAATATAGTGTCACTGACATATAGAAAATACAACCGTACTCAAAAGTCATCATTCATATAAATAAGGCTTTAAAAAATCGACTTCTCAATTTACCAAAGTTATCGATGAACAGGTGCCGAGCCCGTTACATGACTGTCCAAACGAGTTCTCGATTAAAATCGAGTTCTTTTAATATACAATCGATTAAATAATTGAAACTTCTGCACAAAGAGTATAATAAGTATAGGGAATCTTCTGCATTTTGGTTGATGAAATTGGACGAAATCCTTTTGTGAGACAAACGAGTTCGATTTTTAAGCAGATTGTGGAGATTTGAACTGTTTTTGTATGTAAAAGTTGTTTTTATAAAATCGAGTTGTCTTGAAATCATATCTTACAACACTGATCTCTTTAAATATGTTTTAATCAGATTTTCGTGCCGTGCGAATGCATTGAAGCGGATATTTGGCACAAGGCAATGGTTTTTTAACGATTATTTACACCATAATTGGTAAAATATTTTCTTTTAACACAAATTACTTAGGTGGTCATATCATGCTTCCCACACTGTAGACTCGATACAAACATCTTTAATTTTATGATACAAGTGATAATATGAGTGTAGGGTAGCCATGCTTCGACACGAAAGGGCCGGCTCGTAGTGAAGACACGGCCTCACAGAAACCCGACGTGAAACAACGCTTGCTTTGTGTTACCGGAGGCCCAATTGTGACGGTCCATGTGATGTTAAACAAAAGGCGGCGCCCATGAACACCCTGCAACGCTAGAGCGACCTTTTAGGGTTAGGATTTCGGAGTACCTATTTGATCTCAAGTTCTTGGGTCAAACTCATTTCTTCTATCACTTAAAACCATCCATCTTGTATTAACTAAACCTCGCGGGTTACTCACGTGAATATATTGAGAAAAGCTCTACTAGTTTCGAGCCAATCAGTAGGCTACGCGACATCGCCGTGACCGCGCACGTTGCTCATGAGAAAGAGCCCCTCTGTGGCTCGAAACTAGTAGAGCTTTTCTCAGTATATTCACGTGAGTCATCCGCGATTTTTAGTTAATTTAGTATGTCTCTCGATAGTTATTATGAAAACATTCATCATTTAATTTTATTTCTAAAGATCTATTAACGTACTCTACTTAACATGTTTTTCTTCTCATTCCAGATCAAACAAATACCTGCAGAAATCAGCCATCACCAGAGTGTGTGCCGTCGGTGGTTTCTTTATATCTATACCGGTATTCTTAACAGGTTCGTTCCTTATAATTACTATGTATTTCCTGCTGCATATAGGACCACTGTTTTATTTCCCACGACTTCATAATATAGGGATCGGACTGTTTACTTGATAGAATCTTTTTTTAATAAGGTTTTTTTGTGGACCGTGTTTTTAAGACTGCCATTTAGTTCGTGCCATATTAGGATTGCTAAGTCAATGCGGTTTCTAGTTCTAAGTTACTAGGAACGGGGTGGTTTTTAGTCGGAGTCTGACACCTCTCGCCTCACCCAGGCGGAAGAAGTCATTGGATGATTTTAACCCCTGAAAAAAAAAGGTACCTATCGAGTTTGTTTTAGATCTCGATTTAACAGCACCCTTTCGGTAATAAGGCTTTTTTGCACGTTAGATTATCTACGTTTAACTTCTATACTAATCCCACCATTCTCAATTCCAGGCATAATACTCTACACCTTCATACAATTCCACTCGACGCCAGCGATAGTGACGTCAGTTTTCATAGGCGTTGGAATAATCTTCTGCGGTTGCGCAATGGTGCACAACGTCTTCGTATGGCAGAAGGAAAAAACGAACCTCGTAAAAGCGTTTCGAACTCAAGACCTCAACACCACGACAAACACACAGAACTTAAATGCGTCAAATGGTGTTATAATTGGCAATGGACATTTGAATAATACTGGAATGGGGAACTTGAGTTTCCATAGCATGACAGCCGGTGGTGCGTATACGCATCCGATTACGCTGCTGCAACAAGGAGGTCCTTATATTATAAGGTGGGTTGGTAATTTTTATTATTAACTTTTCCGCCCTTGTTTTCCCCATTAAAAGGAGATAAAGGAGATGACTGTAAGACATTTTAGTATTACCTACCTTGAGTAGTTTAAATGTTTAATAAGTTCTATTTTTTATAGACTCAGGCTCTTTTTGAGGATACTTTAATATATAACGACTAATCACACCTACTATTTCTAATATAAAACACATTCTGACCAATTTTGACAACTGCGTAATATTTATTTAACTGACTGTTCTCTAAAATTGATAAATGATATTAAAAAATGTCAAAATATAAACAAAATAATATTAAATATTTATTTTAAAAAAACATTATTTTATACATTACAGGCCTCCAACAAGCACGCCTCCAGGTGAAGGAGCCGCTACTCCAGGCGTTCCAGCAGCCACCATCGACTTGAGCCACGACACGCACGAACTCAGTACGCTCGTATGAGCCGCGACGTGTCAATACGAACTTATCCGAACATGTAACATCAACGCTTCGAATAAAATTAACATTATTCGAAGCGTTGAATTTATGCGAAAAAATGTGATGTCTAAAAATGGAAAATTATGATAAAATTTAATATTACTGTGGCATTTTTTTATACACGAAAATGTAATCGAATTTTAATGAAATTATGACTATAATTGTTGTCTTGTGTGATGAATTTATATTCGAGTCAATATCGATAACCAATTTTATTGAAAGAGTGTAATCACAAAAATGTGGAATAAAATATTCAAGAAGATCCCTTGAAACCAATCGTTCCAATAATAGCGATATGTCGACTTTAACCGACTTGCCAATTCTATTCCAGTCAATTTATGCGAATTGACATTATTCGAAGTTGACGTATGTTTGTCTTGCGTGTATGCGTGTCCCAAAGAGGGAGTTTGTTAGTGTCTGAGAACTGAATGTGTTTTTTTATGAATTAATTTATAATATTTAATTCCTTTGTTTTGAGAAATTTAGACGCCAAGCAACGAATTAATTGATTTAGAAATAATAATAATCCCGTTGTTTTAAATTCTCAATTATAATAGATATTTTTACAGCGACAATAAACAATATTTTATTATGTGGTCATAAAATATAAACGAGCATCTAAAAATCTCCAAACAAAGGAATAACAGTATTCAGCCTAAGCTGTTTTCTACTCAAGAGGGCCATAATATGCCTTCAATATTGTTCTTTTGTATATTGTGGTAACTGTAAATATTGTTTCTCTAGTTTACGTTTTAAAAATTGCCATGTTTTTATTTTATTTAGGTTTTATAAGAATCTTTAATACTGTCCTTGTAAATTATGATTAGTCGATTAAAGCGCAGTCGATTTCTTAATCTTTAAAAGTCAAATCATTAATCGTTTAAAGAGCTTTAGTGGATAATTAACTTTCAGGGTTAATACATTCAAAGTTTCACAATAGCGACATTATTTACACAAGGTCGGATTCATGCAAATTCGATTCTTTTAATTAATCGACTAAAAGAAAATAGTGGCGTTTTGGCGCGAGATCGATTAGAGATTCAAATGCCACGTTTTTTTTTAAGTTTTATATGAGGCAATGGCGATGAACGATCTAAGAATAAAACGCGCCATCTTGCAAACTTCAAATGTGTACTCATGTACATAATTTTGGAAGTTCTACTTACATAATATTGTAAAATGTTTAAAATATTCGTAATGATTGTTATTTTTATAATTTATTTTTTCTTTTTACATTATTTTTGACAGTTTTAAAATATATTTCTGAATGAGATAGTAGTACTAAAAAGTAATTTGAGTGATGTAGCCAATAGTTTTAAAATAAAACCCACCAATCAGAACATATAAAAAGTGAAGTCATAAAATAAAAAATAGACTCAAAATGTATATTTGTACATAGTGATTTAACACATAAATCAGGAGGCATAAATTTATTTATTATTATTTTCTTTACTGATAACATTTTCCATTTTTACTATAGTTCATTTTATGTGAGACTAAAAAATAAAAAAAAATCATAAAAGAAAACAATTTTTATTTTAAGTTTAAGTGTATAATAAATTTCCCTTTCCTTCATGAAACTCAGCACTATTTTCATTACCTAGTTCCTGCGCCCATCTTTTGCCCTGAAATAAAAAGAAAATATTTTAGCACCTTCATATTGTTTTGTCGTGGTGGGTTCGAAACCTACCAATGTGACGTTTTCCGAGTTGTAAGAACTTTCTAAGATTATTTAGATACCACTGACAAACAGTGAAGGAAGAAATCGTGAGAAAACCTGGGCTTATAATTTCTAATTATAAGTTTGAAATTGCCAACCCGCATTGAGCAAGTGTGGTGATTAATGCTCAAACCTTCTCCGTGTGAAAAGAGGCCTTTGGTTAACAGTGGGCATGTATAGGCTGTTGATGTTGTTGATATTATGTTTAATCAGTCCATAGATGCCTATATTTCGCGAGACAATCTCCGGCCACCAAAAGCCCGGCCTGCGGACGGCGAGCACGGGTAACTCGTCGTCCGATCAGAACCAGACCCGCGTACGGTGCCTCAAAGAGGCATCAGACTACCACAGATAGGGCCCAATAGGGCTGATGCCGATACGGAAACGCTGGATGTAACGGGTTGGCGGGGTTCCGACTCGAATAGCAGAAATAGGAACGGAGTGGTTTTTAGTCAGTAAGACTCTGACACTCGCTCTCGCTTCACCCAAGGCGGAAGCTGTTGTCATTACATGATTCCCCCCCCCCCTCAAAAAAGGACGCCTATATTTTTTTTAACGTGTTCAGTAGTCCTATTGTGATGATTGCACCTATGATACAAGAGCAAATTCTAACGTGTATTACTCACTGTAATAATAATAATTTTATAAACTGTTTACGTGAGCCTACGCATAAATGCATAGCAATGTATTTCACTAGGTTAGCTGATAGCTATAAGTAATTAAAGTGTTTCTTTTTTTGTGAATACCGCCATGTACTTTTTTTTGTGATTCTATTCTGTCTGTGTTATCAAAATATAGATTCCAAATTGTTGGAAGTAATTTTAATTCAAAAATCCTTATAATCCTCCAACAACTAGTTTTAAAACAACCGACTTACACCCCATTGTTTTTGGAAGTCTGTTAATTAATGATTATTAATGTGCTAAAACCATCTTTGAAATATCACAAACACTTTTTTGAAAATCGCATCGAATCGGTTCAGCTGATAGCGAGATAGTTAAAAAAAATGTTTATTACCTTTTTAGTCCTTGATATAACCCTGTGTAGTAGCCGCTCATGTACCAGCTGAGCAGCATGGATGATATGGCTTGGTCCTCGGTGTCAGACCGGTCCATTGAGAGGGCCATTGGTGGCGGCGGCATTGGCATTTCCATTGAACCTAGTTGCTGGAATATCGATAAAATAACTTTAAATTGTAGTCTGAACTGTTAACAGATAATTCAACATGTTTTACACATTATAGCATGTCACTAAGTTGATATACCTTTTCTTTTTTTTTACACTTCTTTTATTTTAAAATACGTTACCCTGTACTACGATTTTTTACTGTGTCGTTGGTGCATTTACAACCATACAAGTTCACATACACATGACACCCAGACCCGAAACAATCTATGGATAACACAGAGTTGTTCCGTGCGGGAATCGAGCCCGAGACACGTTGCGCGCCAACCGAACAGTCGTTCAGTTCTTTTATAAAGACAATTCTAATTCTTACATTCCAATTATAATAACCAACATGAAGCAATAAAAAATCCCATACATTTTCGCCACTGATGTTGTAACACATAAGTAAGATAACAAATATATCTAATAAGCATGGTTATCAAAATCATACAATACATTTGGAATAAACAGTGAAAGAAGTACTTACATTTCTCAACATAGACAAGTTAGGTATGGGTGGCATCTCTGGCAGCTCAAAGCCATTGATATTGATACCCCTTGCTTGATTCTTTTTCTTTTTAGATGGTTTCTTCTTTTTCTGAGATGATCTTCCTGTAAAAGAAAATATATTCCATTAGTTGAGTGTTCAGGGTTTCTCCGGTGTTCACCCTTTTATTCTCATAACATAACATCACGCCTTTTATCCCCGAATGGGTAGGCAGAGGTGCACATTATGCCACTGTACAATGTAACACCCACTTTTCACTATTTATGTTATGAGTCCTATGTATTAGGGGGTGAGCCTATTGCCATATACTGGGCACAATTCCAGACTCTGTGCTACTACTGAGAATTTTTTAGACCCAGTAATACTTTGCCCGGCCCAGGACTCGAACCCGAGACCCCTTGCCCGGCAATCGCACTTGCTACCACTCGGTCGCAAATATGTGTCTAATGTTTTAAAATAATGTTATGGTTACGGACATTAAAATAAAATTTAGGAAACTACCCTATTATACATAGCTATTTTAAGTTCTTTCTCCAAGGCAGAAAACAATTACGAGCACATTATGGTTAGTCATTCCTACAAAGGTTAATAAATCATTATCAGGTAAAGCCAATATACCTATACTATCAGGACTAGGCACCCTGTCACTGCACTCCACAGCCTCCGCACCATCAACATTGGGTGACAGGCTACCATAGCTATCTTCAGTCTGATCTCTCCTCGCATCCTTAATCTGCTGGGCCCTAGCATCCTTGCCCAGAGACTGTTTCAGAGAATCTATCGACACAAGCTCTTGATTGTCATAGCCTGAAATATTTAAAGTTTAATATTTAGTACTAGTGTTATCATATTTTGTGAATTTACTCTTAGGTAATGTTATTTCAATTCCAGGCACAATGGCTTTAGTCAGAGCACTGATTTATAGTGTTGTTACTCAGGCCATGGCTCTAGCTGAGCAGACCTTTATGCTTTTTTTTATGGCATAAGCCAGTAAACGAGCAGACGGACCTGTGTTATTTGTGATGCAATAATGATAATTTTTTATTTGTTTCTTTATTAATTATTTGGAATTGCTTGTCTTTTCTTTGTTTATCATAATATTAATAGGCTAGTGGTTTAGACTAGATAGAACATTCTTCTCAATAACTTAATCAACAGAAAAACTGATGTAGTTACCATAATAGAAAAATTCAAACCTAAATATTTGACAACACAGTCGTTATCATCAACAATTCTAACTATAACTGCTTCATACTCCAGGCCATCTTCAGCATACACCAGTCGACATGGCATGCTAGGTTTCCATCTCATTTCCTTTGGCTTATCATCAGCAATTCCATTGGTATTGGCAGACAGGATTGTAGCTTTCTTCTTGGCTGGTTTTGTTGCTAACTTCTCTTTTTTTGGGGAAAATGTAGCTGTAATAAAATAATATAGACGTTTGTTGAATTATAATAATATAATTTTATATGAAGGCAGGCAGGGATTTTCTAAGACATGTTGTTCACTAATAAGAATTACTTTTTGATTATCAATTCAATGACAATAGAATACATTTGGTTTGAAATTGAAGCATAAAAACATTTTTTGTAAATTAGGGTACCTATGTATCACACAGTCAAGATACTTTTAGACACTTCGAACTTAGTTATAGGACTTTGTAGTCATTTTTCATTCATATAAATGTACAAAGAATGTTCGAGAGTTTAAGCAGATTCATATTAGAATGTGTTTCGATATAGAATATCAAAACAACTCACGATCATTGGTCGAACCCTGAGTGTTTGTAGACATAGCCACGCGCTTCGCCACCTCAACGTTAGCAATTCTTACAGCTTTGTCATACGCATCATTTAATTTCTTGTCGTCCCACTGATCATCATCATCACCCTCAGACTCCGACTGAAATTAAAAAGATCATCAAGTACAAGATTATTTTGAAATCGGAGATCTGTTTGAATATTTTTATTTACAAGATTCATCCCCTTCACGTAAAGAAGTTTTGGGCTTTTGGACATGTCCACCATAAATTACAATATTTCCTTTATTGTTTGCGGTTATATTCGTTTTATAACACTTTAAATTTTTTATTCAAACAATTTTGTCGACGCTTCCAAACAGCGAGTTTTCAATTTTGTTTTTATTTGACAGATCATGATTTCATGTTGACTTTGACGTTAAAATTAGTATGTTTTCGTCTTCGGTGAGTAGTGATGTCATAAATGTAGTCGATTCTCATTAAGTTGTAAATAGTCAACAATAGTCGAGACATTTCTGTTGTAAATTAAAATCTAATTGGATTTTTCTCATTATATTTGTCCTACCGTCAATTTATTTATAATTTGCTCATTTGCACGATGCCTTGCTCTTGCTTGCTTGATACTGTTGAAGTGTGGGTACTGTAATGTGGAATGTGATAGAAGAATATTCGGATTTTAGATAGTTTCTTGTGTACAGTCGTAGCTCCCAAAAAATTACATTAACCCCGCGCTTTTTCTCACTCTAATTTTGACAACTGACTTTCCATTTTCATTTGAGCGAAGATTTTCGGCGAACTGATATTATTACTATAGTATTTTGGATTTTTTTTTCTGTAAGTATTTACTTTTTTATATGTTTTATTGTAAAATCAGGTGTGAATTATAACTTATTTTTCATCTAAAGTGCGTCATTTTAATGCAAAACCTATTACGATAATTTACTGACCACCGATTTCCATCGTGCTTTAAATCCTGTTATTTCATCCTATTAACGCTATTCTTTGATTTTATAGAATTTAAATCACGAATCTGTTATTCGAAAATAATTTAAGACTATAAAACAGTCGGATTTCATACATATTCAGTTGAAAATGGAGAAAGATAAACCGTCCCAAGCAGTGACTATTCAACGGGGGAATACAAAGGAATCGGATACAAAAGCGAGTTCTATCGGCTCTAGAATATTTGAGAAATCACAAGACCCAAGAATAATACAAGAAGTCTCTAATTCGGAAGAATCTGAAAGTGATCATAACTATGATTTTGAGAAAAATGGACCAAAGAGATTAACTGCATATCACAACAAAGAAATTACTAATAAAAAACCTCGTGTCGACTCTGAAGACCTTATAAATGATCTCGAAGAATACTATTTGACAATCACAAATTTCCCAAAGGATTGGAATTTTCTGCAAATTAAAAATTATTTGGATAGAATGGTAAGTTAATTATAATCCAATACCTTTAACCAAACAATTCTTGGATATAATTATGTACCTATGTATCAATGATCTCAGTAATGCTCCAACGATTTTCTTGATATTTTGTATACAGGGTGTAAACGGAACGCTCCTGAAAAACACCAATCGGTGATGGTAAAAAACAAGTCTTGTTTAGAACTTGATAATTTAGCAGGTTATCCATACATCGCGGAGAACCTAACGGGTTACCGGGGCTCGGGCTCGATGTGCAGGAGAAGGAACGGCGTGGTTTTTAGTCTGTCACTCCCTCCCGCCTCACCAAGGCGGAAGCAGTTATTCGATGATTTTCCACCCTTAAAAAAATCCATACATAAAATTAATTTTCCCTATTTCCTTTCAGTGTGGCCACATTGATGAGATGCAGATCTTACGAAGGAAAAGAAGATCAAAAATCTTTGCCATAAGACTTACTTTCCAGAGCTTTGAAAAATGTATAGATGTGCTGAAAAAATTGGATAAAGTTATAGTCATGGGAAATGTACTGAAAGTGAGGATAAGTGGTATGTATCATTTATTTATTTACACAAAATCTCAGTTTTCAACTGAAACAAACACCTACTTTGGGTAACCCGGACAGTGTCCGAGACCCCTTGCTTGGTAATTGCACTTATATAAATCACCTACTATGTGTTTGAATACAAACCATTATTGGACTTCAATGCATATTGAAACTGAATAAAATTAAATTACTAAATTGAGATGATTCAACGATTGTTAAGATTTCCGTTTCGCTGTCATGATTCAATTTTGTTTATAAAGACGATTGATTCAATCATCTTGACTTTTGCCCTTGATAGGAAACTTAAAAGTTGCAAACAAATTACATTCATTCTTACGCCTGTCTTTCACACACACACATTATTACCTCTTTGCTTCATCAATCATACATAGCTACATTAATCAACTCTTCAGGCATATTTAATATGCATTAAAAAAATATATATTGATTAAAATTAATACAACTTTTTTTTAAAGAATTAGTGACAGTCGCCTTTCATCTTTTACAGAGTCATACATGGCTTATTCTGTAGACTGTTCTGGAGTTAACCTGGTGGATGATGATTCTCGGATTTTTAAATCTAAAGTGGCTGCAAGGTAAATTACTTTTTAATAGCTTATTTTACACTTTATTGTACACCATAAAATATAAAGCCATAACTTAGATAGCAAAAAGTTAGTGTAATTGCGAATTAATGTTTTTAATTGTTTATTGTATTACAACTTCTCGATTGACACAGTGGCTGGCGATCTGCTTTTGCGCAAAAAGTGTATTTACTTAAAATTATACTTCACTAAGATTTTTAATGCCACGGGTACTTTTACAAGCATAATTTTACACATCTCGCCCAAACCAGGTCACAAATTGTAGATCACACAAAATATTTAACTCTTGCTGGAATCACCTGCAACATGTTGCACAGTAGCTGATCTTCCAGTCACTGCATTAGTCATGAGACATATTACAGACTTCTTTAACACCAGAAATGTCTTGCATGTTGTTAACCTCGCAGAACCTTAACCGTAAACTATTTATTCATAGCACTCAATGGAGACCACTTGATGACTTTTGGGGCAGAGACCCTGAAGGCCTGTATGGTCTGAAACCAGAATTCTTGCAGTGCCTGAATATAAAGCCACCACTGAGTAGAATTGTTCACGTTACCAATGTAAGTGATTCATTGTTATATTATATTGACTAGCTATGCCCGTGAATAGTGATTCACAGCTCCTCCCCCGTGGTTGATAGCATGATAATATGTTGCCTATATGTTGACCCAACCTGTTGGTAATATTAATGCAAAATTTGAAGTAAATCCATGCAGCACTTTTTGAGATCATCCCGGACATACATACAGACAACAATTCTAAAAACCATATTTTTGGTTTCGGTATTGACTGTAGATCATGTCCAAAGCATTCTGTTAAAAAAATATTTGATATGCGCTCTGAGGCCTTAGTACGAGTTTGATTTACGTTTAAAGTATTCGTAACGAGACCTCGTTCGGCGCTCTAAGTGGTTGGTTTAATGGCGCCCGCCAATCAGAGTACCGAACGCGTACTCGTTACGAACATTTGAAACGTAAATCAAACTCGTACTAAGGTCTCTGTTTTTACTTCACTACGATTTTATTATGTGTATAGATGTTACACATACGTGTTTGATGATGTTGCTTGGCTAATAATTAAATGCGAACGAAGTCTTGTGCAAAAACGGTTTTAATATTACCTAGTTTGTTCTGCTAGCTTTATTTTCTTGTACAAATATTATACATAATTGCGAAAGTTTGTAATTCTACATTTCAATCGGCGTCAATGATTATCATCATTGATGTTGTATATCTATTGTACAACATGTATAAATATTGTATAAACTCTGGGTAAATAGTGTACTTGTTCATCTTTTATAACGGAACAATTTTTCTCTTACAGTTCAGATGCGATAAAACTGAACTAAGAGAAGTAATGGAGATGGCGGGTACTGTGACAATGATTAGCGTTGTATATACGAACCACAAATACGCCAAAGTTGTCTTCAGCCATCCTTTAGAAGCTGTCCAGGTAAGAATATTAGTTTTATGAGTTTATAATTTTAACTAAAAATGACAAGTTACTCACGTAAATATATTGAGAAAAGCTCTATTAGTTTAAAGTCACCAAGGGACTCTTCATACATATCATACATAATATAGATATTACATTCTTGCTGCATAGATAATAGAAATTACATTCCTACTGCATAGATAATAGATATTACATTCCTA